AAAACTAATGATGTAATGTATGGTGATTAACATAACATAATAAAATTAAATTAAAAAAAAATCTTTTACTGATCCTTCAAGTCACTAGAATAAATTCTAAATTCTTACCTTGGAATCTTTTCATTATGACACCTCCTCAATTTCTAATCTCATCTGCTTTATCTAGCTACCTCCCACAGCCTACATATAGGCCACATTCCTGGGTCACTGTTCTTGCTTTGTTTTCTTGTGTATGGTGTATCTGCCCCTGCCTCAGAGCCTCTGCACATGCCATTTCTTTTATCTGGAAGTCTTCTTGCAGATATTTGCATGTCTGCTTCCTTAGATTTCAGGGCATACATTCCCCTCACCACACCTCTAGGCCATTTTCTCTGTATCACACATATTTTTCTCCATAGCATTTACTCTCCAACATAATCTTAATATGTATTTACTTGTTTATTGTCTATTTCTCCATTAAGGATATAAGTTCTGTGAGAACTGAGTCTTGGTCTGTCTTGTGTAACTATCATATCAATAAACACTGAATGAATGAATGAATGACTCATAAACCTGCTGGGCATGTCAGAGTACAGAACGGCATACCTGCCTCCACTCTTTCTCATTTCTCCTTGGCCTATTTCCTGAGTATAGGTATCCAAGTCACTACGGTATCCACAAATAGAGGATATAATTGTCTGATTACCTGCTTGTACTAACATCTTGCTACACTGAAGATGCTGCTACCACCATCTTTCCAAATGTTGCAGTGTTCTCCCCATATGGGAGGGATAGATAAAAGAACAGTAGCAATGCAGATGCAGCATTACTTGGCAATTGCCACCTCTTTGTCCATGGGGGCAGACTGGACAATCCAGAAAAAAGGAAGATCTTAGGGATGGTACGTACATGTCTGTGAAATAATAAGACATATATATGAGAGTAAGTTTGCTGGTGTGGGAGGATCCAAACAGCAGCTCAAGAACCTCAAAGACCTTATGAAAACTTAGATCCAAGTACTGATACTTACCAAAACAGAATGAATGAACGAAGAAGCAGAAGACTGATATGGTAACAATATACTGCAAAAGCACGAACGAAAATCAAACCATGAAAGAATAATTTATTTGTGCAGACTGCAGATTGAGTGAGAGTTCTGTAGTAAGGATTTGAACAACATTTAACTGACTTGAAGCTGATTGATTTTGTTAGGCAGTGAGGCACATGTGGATAAGCTACCGTATTCAAAGGAGCCAGATTCTGAAGGAAATTCACATGAGATGGAACCATGCTTATGAACATAAACTGAGATACTTGAATATTGCTAAATTATGATGAAATCATTGAAAATGTCATAGCAGGAATCCTAAGGAGAAGTATTAACACTTCTGCATTTCTAGTTCATATGGAAATGCTATATCCACTTATGAAAGTAAAGTACAGGCATGGCGTTATTATGATTAAGACCTTACAACTGTAGAAACGTAGAGTGGTACATTAATAATATTATAGACATGTTTAGCATAAAATGCAAGCAATGTAACTAAATTAGTTGTACATTCCAGGCTGCATCTGGATTTCCTGATTGTACATTCCTGTGAGCCTGTTACGTTACAAAGCTAAACAGAAGAATAAACCTTTCATGTTTCTTAGGGTGCTCAGACATTAGCCAGTTTTTGTTTTTCCTGCAGCATTTGTCCCTGGAGAGTGCCAGAATCTTCTAAAGCCTCTTTTAGAAGGCAGTATGTTATTTTAAAGTAGTAGTTAAGATCATCTTACTTGGGTGATGATGGCTGTTTCACATGGCTAACAACCATACTTGCCTCACAAATAACCCGAAAGTATATTCATTTTTGCCGCCCTCTTGGAAGAATGCATATAGTGGTGTACAGAAAAATAGCTTGCATAAATTTCAGTAACTCATCTATTTGTTTCCTTCTTTACATTTCTTAAGAAAGCAAGCAGAGGAGTTCATTTTGGAATACATTTGGGGGAGTGACCATTAGGATGAGATAAGTTTCTCAGTATATATACATATAGACTATTGGATTTATTAGAATTTATTAGATCTTAGTGAGAGATCCTGGAGGCAAGAAAACCAGAAGGAGTCCACAAGGGAGTAAGAAGAGGAAAAACTCCAAGAGAACATAAAGTTGAAATGCAAGTCAGTGGTACACTCACGAATAGATTTATTACTTTATAAATGATGGGATAAGCCACGTGAGTGGGCTTAGGCATTCAGTCATTCCTCTGTTCTCACATTCATCAATTATAGAGTGCTGCCCCTGTGCCAAACACTTAAGAATTAACTTATATGTTAAACTTCATTTTTTGGAAATTCTTCAGAAATCTAGTATAAATTATCAGTCTAAATTAGAGAATTTTTTAAAAAGTAGTCTTCTTAAAAAAATAAATAAAATAAAATGTAGTCTTTTTGTGTTTTACTTCCAGGGAAAAGAGTAAGTCAATTTAGTTTAACAAAAGTGACCAATAAATGGACTTTAATGAAAATATTTAAAAAAAAACTTTTAATTATATTATATCATTTCTTTCTATGTAAATACGTACTTATGATTTTATGTTCTTAGGCATGTCTATTCCATTTCTGATTACAATCCCCTGATTAACTTAATACATTCTTTTCTCAGAATGATAGTGACAAACTCCAGATTTGATTGATTTGCTACAAATTCCACATTCCTGTTACTTTGGTGTGAATTATTTTGAACCCCAGTCAATCTTTATGTTTCATCTTAGAAGACTGGACAAGTCCTATTGGTAATTTGAGATTACTCGTATAGACATTAGTCAGCAACCCTCATACAGCATCTCCTGCAAATCATATGCTACCACCCCACCTTACTTCCTTCTTGCCCTGGAAAAAAACCTCTTCGTTTCTTCGTTCAAAGTGTAGCCCACTGATACAAGAGGATACTGATACTCTAGTTCCCATGGGGAGAGAATGGGGTCTCATACCATTCACCTGGCCTCATCAATGGAAATAGATTTTCCAGTGGCCCCAGGCCTTTGGGTCTTTATTTCTTCCTCCTGACATTGGAGAAACACCACTCACACAAAGAAGAGGTTCTATCTAAGACTATCCTTCCTTTCTAAAAGCTCAGAGGAAGCCCACTGGGGGTGAGGGTGGGTGCTCTTTTCCCTGCAATCTTTGCGTAGAGTTATGTAATCCATGCATCTCCATTTGGCACTTGAAGTTCATTTTCCCATTGATACTGGGAACCAAGGGTTATGGGTTTTGTAGCTCACCTAACCACTTGACTTAATCATTTCTTGTGGCAAAAGAGGTTCCAAGTTTTAAACAGCTGAGTTAAAAATTAGGGGTGAAACATCACTGGTTTATTATCTGGGCCCTGCTTATCAGCACCAACATAATACAAAACACTTAAAAACCACAATTTTTTCCTTATTTTCCTCACATAATCTGTAAGAGTGTACCTCCTTTCAAACTGAAAAAGTTCAGCAGATAAATTCTTTGAATTCTGGGGGGACAAGACAGGTGTCAGCACAGAAAATGCCTCCTTAGGGCTTGTACTCTGATGGGACTTGATTAGAATTCCTAAACATATTCTCCCTCCCACCCCATGCCCTTGGCTAATCCTTTGTGTAACTAAGAGCGGTGGACATAATATGCGTGCGTATTTACTTGTATATACTTGAAGATTTAGGGAACGTTGTATAAGAAACTGGAAATACTTGTTGCCTCCAAACAGGAGCAATGGTTGCCTAAAGACAGGAGTAGGAAAGATAATTACAATTCTCTCTGCAGCATTCTGTACCACTGGATTTTTGCACCATGTCAATGCCTTAACTATTCAAAAAAATAAACACAATTTTAAAAGAAAAAAAAAAAAGTCCTTGGCTGATCCACCCCTATCTTTTATCCTCAGCATCTGGGGTGAGGGAGATATCTAATAGTGTGGGGCTGTCACATGAGTGACTAACAGTGTTAGCCCCTATGGTCCTTCTCACTTGGCTTGACTCCTGGAGTAGAAGGAATGACAAAGGATGGTAACCTGTCTGCCATTCGTGGGAGTGCTCTACATAGCCTCAGTGTGGTCCTGTAAATGACAAGCTTTCTGATATACCAATCTCTTCCTTACATATGAACATTTTGAGAAACAGTGCCAGTAGCAAGCTAGGCAGCAACAGCAACATGATATTTAGACAGTAATCCTCAGTACCATTCCTCACGTGTGGGACTGAGAGAGGGTTTCCTGGAGAGTGAGGTTGATTTAGGGACTGGGGATCAGCTGCTGAGGCTGGCACTTGGAAAAGACAAACCAGGCATTCACACTCCAGACCACTCAATACCAGCATTGTCTCCAATCCATCTTTCATAAGGGGGCTCCAAGAGGGGGAGGGGATAAAGGAAGGAGAGAAAAGAAACCTTTTTAATCCTGTAAAAGAAAGTGCAGGAGAGAGGAAAGAATGAACAAGAGGTGAGTATGAAAAGCCAGTGGCCAGGAATATTTAGTTTTGAAATCAACTTTGGCTTTTAATCTTAGCCTCCCCTGTCAAGTTTCTTCTCTGTTCTACATGCCCCATCCCATCTTTGGGCACCGGGACCCCTCCACTCCCCATGCTTTCTTACCCTTCTCTGGTTCACTCCCTTCATCTGTCCCGGCTTGCCTTCTCTCCTTCCCGGCTCCTTTTCCTTCTTTTTCCCCCCTTTCTCCGGCCCTTTCCCACACTCTTTCTCCTGTGCTTTTACAGCCCGAGTCCCTCTCCTTCTCCCTTTTCTCTTGCACAGTACATCCAAGCTCCATTCCCTCTTCTTAAGGAAATCAGCCAGGTCTCAGATGGAGCTGTTGTCCTGACAACCTAAAGGCGCATCAGGCTTTCACTGAGGCTGGCGGCTGCTGAAGGGGGCAGTTGTGCAAAGCGAGGGGCCAGGCCAGAGGGAGGGCGGAGGGGATGACGTGGAGGGGCTGTTGAAATCCGCGGGGGGCGGGGGAAGTGCGAGCGGAGGGGAGGGACTGGAGGGAGAAACAGGAAAGGGCGGGGGGAGAGGCTCTGGGCTGCTGCCGCGGCTGTGTGGGTTTCTTTACACTCCCTGGCAGGCTGGGTGCCGGCTTCCTCGCCTGCCTGCCCGCCCGCCTGGGAAAGTGGGTTAGGGAGGGAAGGAGCTCAGCTCAGACACTGGCAAAGGAGCATCCAGCCACAGAGAGACCAGAGAAGAACACCTTCCTTTTGCAGCTTTCTCTTCATCTTTTCTAGAGGGTTTTATATTTGTACTCTCTCTTTTTAAATTGTGCTCCTTTGGCTATCCCCCCCCCCCCCGCTTGGGTTTTATGAGGGCTTTGTTAAGTCTTAGAGGGAAGAGAGACTGAGCCAGGAAAAGAGAGGCAAAGTGGAAAGGAGCACAAACTGGGAAAGCCCATTCTGCCTTGGCTGTTGATGAAAGCCCTGTGTTTGTAAAGCCCTCTCGGCGTGAGCAGCACGCACACACCCTCCAGAGTACACCCGGACCTGCACCTCGGCGTGGCCACGATGGTCGGCAGAGTTCAGCCCGATCGGAAACAGTTGCCGCTAGTCCTACTGAGATTGCTCTGCCTTCTCCCCACAGGACTGCCTGTTCGCAGCGTGGATTTTAACCGAGGCACGGACAACATCACCGTGAGGCAGGGGGACACAGCCATCCTCAGGTAGGGCTTTCGGGCAACTTTTCTGCTGTGCGCGAGACGGGTGTGTGTGTGTGTGTTTGTGTGTATGTGATCTTCAACTCCAGCTTCTGATGCTGCAGGCGTGTGTGTGTGTGTGTGTGCGCCGTGCATGCACACGCGCCTTTTACTGAGTGGCCCAGGTATCTGCCAACAATTTTCAAGGGAATTCTGTTTCCTGTCAAGGACCAGCAATGTTGGTTAAATGTTGTTTGGTTTCTTAGGACCTTGTTTCTCTTACCAAGAAAGCCTAACTTCACCTATGGTATTAGTGACATTTGGGCAGGATTCTTCCTTTGGTAATTTCAGATGCTTTACACTTAAGAGTTTTGTTGGGGTTCTTTAAATGGGAAAGAAGAGTTGTTGAATTATGGCACTCAGAGAGTGGTACACAGTACTGCATTCTCTATGGTGTGTGTGTGTGTGTGTGAGAGAGAGAGAGAGAGAGAGAGAGAATATATGTGCATCAAGGCTCTCGCTCTGCCCCAGCAGTAGTTCGGACTGGAGACTTTCTGTAAGGATCATCTAATTGACATCGAGGGCAATAAATCAATCTTAGAACTTCGGTTGGTTACTGAGCCTTTTCTGGAATGTGGATAGACATCAACACATGAAAGTAGAGAAGAAAAAAAAAAAAAAGGAACTTGCCAAATTGCTGATATTTAAGAATAGGAGTATTAAGCGCAAAGGTTAGGCAAGAATTAACCTGGTGTAAAATGGGTATTTCAAATTGATTATTGACCTTAAAGTCCTATCTCTGTGTGGCTCTGCCAAACTCTGAAATATAATTTGGGATTGAAATTTGGGCAGGGAGAGTCCCAGTCCTTGGGAGTTTGACCCCTATAAGGGAGAGTGAGCTGGAGAAACTCAGAAGGAACCTAACCATAATTCTATTTCTAAAAAAGCTTCCAGCTTCTTTTCCTATGTTTCTCTTCTCTCTTCCCCTCCTCCACCCACTGCACATACCCCTAGTCTTTTTTTCTAGCTTTCTTAAATTCCTATCAGATACCAAAAAAAAAAAAAAAAAAGAGTGGGAAAAAAAATGTTTTCCTTGGAGATCCTTTAAAATCTCATTTTGTCCAAATAAAATGGCAGTGTCAGTCTGTCCATACAGTTAATATTGCTTGTTGCGGCAATAAAAAACAGTAAACTATAGAAAGTAAACCTCTAATCTGTGTGCAAGGAGCTGATAGTGCATAAACCCTGGGGCATCAGGGAGCAGTTCTCTAGCAGAGCTGCCTACAGCAGCAAAGTTTTCTTTCCTTTCCTCAGAAATAAATTTGGTTGGCTGTCACAGTGTCCTGCTTTGGGATCTCTAGCTTTGTTAGAGAGGACTGTGTATGTGTTGTGTGTTGTGTTGTGTGTGTGTGTTGCTGCAGATTGTAAAAACTAAGAAAAACCTCCTTTCTTCGTTTCTTGAGTGATTCTGAATCCCAAAGATCCTACTATCCAAAGCAGATTTTCCCTACCAGTTTTCCAGCCCTGTAAACCTGCATGTGTGATTTATCCACATGGAGTAATAAGATTTATAGAGTAATTTATCTGTTTGCAAAGGGATTTGGATATGATGCAGAAAATGTTTTTTGCAAACACTTAAGCATGCCATCTCAACTGCTCACATTCATACTCCCTAACATCATTAACCCTTTACTAGTGAAGCACTCTACATAAATTTATGCTATTCCCAAGAAGATTGTTTTTGCTGATTGTGAGACTGAATATGGGGAAAGTGAATACCCTGAATGTGTGAGTTTTTATTTAAATGCCCATGAACTTGGTAAGTCAGCATCACCCGTATCTTAAGCTACAGTTATTAAAGAGTTAGGTAAACATTTAAATGTTAATTCAGAAGAAAAGGACATTCTTATATTCTCATATAGCATATGCATAAAAGTCTCTGTCTATGAGAGGTATCTTACTACATAAATATCTACATATGATATCGATGTGCTTTCATGTGTCTCTGGCTTAAAACAAATGGAGTTTTTAAGCATTACACTTTAGTAGACATTACGGTGTGGAAATGGGGGGAGTGAGAAATGAGAATAAATATAGAAGCAGTTATTCACTGGGAAAGAGAAGATAGACAAACAGAGCTTGTGGAGAAGTCACCTGTGAGAGTCTGTTGCTTTTCCAGACCTCACCTAATGTGCCCTCTTTTTTTCAAATATCCTTTGCCTTGGACAAGGCTTTTATTTCTGGGTTGATGGAGCTCTATCAGAAGTAACTATGGAGAGAGTTCCCTTTGTTTTCTTAGCTGACCTTCCTCTCAATCTCTTTAACTGAGCCCAGTAAGCTTTGTGGGTCAGTTTCCCAGTAAAGAATGGTTTTCTTGCTTTCTGTTTACAAGTCTAGCCTGAGAAATACTTGCTTCTACTTTATTTGTGACATTTTACTGGGAGCATGAGCTTCCAGGGGAGGAGAGGAAGGAAAACTTGATTCATTGGAAGCCACAGTAGATGTTTGGCACTGAGAAAGTGAAATGGCAAGGAGAAAAAAAAAAAAATTCTCTCAGTGAATCTGTGGCCCTGAATAATCTGAAATGGCAAAAGGAGACAAGGAAGGTTTTATAATTCTGGTGGTCCAGTGACAGGAGTTTGGCTGACCATCCTCAAAACATTTACCTTGACTGCCTTACTCCCATGGAAAGAAAAAGTATATTTTTGGGGAACTGGTGCTTATTTTTGTATAATTATGATAGGAGATGAATACTAGTCTTGGGGTCTTACTTTGTAATTTCTATCTTTTGGGGGAAAAAAAACAACAAAAGACTATAGAATGAAGGTGATAGAACAGGATGGAAAGAGAAATACTCTCATGTATACCAACCTCACCCTGGTGTTTCCCAGACAAGAATCTAGATCTTAAGAGGTTCTTTGTGAGATCCTTAAAGAGCTAAAGGAAACCACACACCATCTTCTATCTTAGGGCATAGAGTCAAAGTATGATCCAGAGACCAGTGGCAGCAGCTGCACATGGGTTTCTTCCTAGATACTGAACCAGAATCCTTATTTATATTTGTATGCACAGTAAAGTGTAAGACATACCCACAGGACTTGACTTACGGGAGTGCCTCAGGTGTTTTTCTGAACAGAGCCCACCTGCCTCACTGCCACCCCCAACAGGTGCAGGAGTTCATCAATTACTAGACACGTTTCTAGCACTGGTTTTTCTAACTTTCTACCCTTGCACACAGGCTCCCAAAGAGATTCATCTCCTGGTTAATCTTGGCAGGTTGAAATCATGTGGCTCTCTTGATAAATCAAAGGAAAAATGGAAATAGATAGTGTTCTAATCTAGCCTTTAAATTTTCATTTTTAACAGTCCCACTGACTATATTTTTAATATCAGTAGCATATGTCTAGAAAGATAATTATAAAATAATTGATCCTAATGTATCTGTTCAAAAGGTAACTTTGTAAAAATGATATATATACGCATATTTTTACGTGTTGTGTAAGTGCATATATGATAAAATGCAGAGGTTTCATACTATTGTGGATTTAAATATTTTAAATTTGAGGTATTGAAATTTTATCTGTTTCACAATTCTGACCCTATTTGATGTTTGGAAGATACTATAATACTTTCTATGGTGATAGCATTTTTCCCGTTTAAATGTGAATGTACTTAATAAGAGTTAGGTATAAGAAATTAAGTATCTAAGTTCAGTATAGCTAAGTTTTTAATTTATCAAAATTCTGGGTCTTTATTCCCTTGTCTTTACACTAGGAGAAAAAGAGGAAACAACACAAAAGAAATGATTATTTGACAGTGCAGTGTGAGAATTTTGTGCAAATTTCAAGGGAAAAAAGGCTTCTCTTTTATAAGGCATCTGGAACGCCTACATTTACAAAGAGAGTGTCAACACTCAAACATATTTCTGACACAATATGTGAATTTTCTACCACTTGTAATTCACTATTTGAAAACAAACTTTGTGGGCATGGGTCTTTGGGGAAAGTTTGTGACAATTATGAAGGTTTCCTTCTCTGTGGCTAAATCACTAATCAACATTTATTGGTTATTACTGATACTTTAAGGACTGTTGATTTCACATTAAATCCTTGATCAAATACATTTGATAAATGATAGAGTATAGCACACTATATCTTGTCTAGGAATATGGCATATTAGCTACACTTATTAACATTGATGTACCTGTGAATTGTATCATTTGTCGTTATTTATGGACAGAGGAACACAGCAGCCAAGTCTCATGTGACAAATGCAAATTGTGATCATTTGTGTTTTTACAAATATGAAACACATAAGTATGTAAACACCCCCCCACACACATATTAAGGTGGTTTTTCCATTTTATGTCATCTGACTTTGAATGAATTATTTGTAGAATTGTGGGGTGAACAACCAAAGTTGACTGACTTATCCACTTAATTAGTTGGGTGAGGGCTAACCATTTGTGTTTCTTGAAGTTGGTTCTACATAATAGCAAACTCAGGCAAAAAGAGGATTAGTGCGTATTTTGCTTTGGTCTGAGAGCTCCAGGTACAAATGTCTGTAACTCATGTGATAAGAAGTTACCTGTGTGCTGATAACCCTTACTGTCATTGCTTGCTTGGACCTTAGAGAGCCCTTCTCTTCAGGCTATTACTTATGGCTTACAGCCATTTGCCCTGTTTTCAGAATGTCCTGCTTGTTAGTTTGTACGACTCAGTAGACCTGGGCTCTAATTTTGGTTCCGTCCTTGTATGCTACATGACTTTGAACAAATCCCTTAAATATTTGAGCTTCAGTTTCATTTATAAAATGCTGAAACTGCCTTTTTTTAGTTACTGTAGTTACTGTACAGAGTTGTTTTAAGAAGCTCAGAAGAGATAAAGTTCAATTGTGAACTGCCTCATAAGTATAAAAATACTAGTCATTTTCCAACCACATTCAACCGGTTGTTCTGACTTTAGAGAGCTCTTTTGCTTAGACCAGTGTTTCTCAAACTTGAAGGTGTATCAGAAGGTGTACCAGGA